TTTTAAATGAGGCAATTTTCTAGTGCTGAAAATTCCTGTGTTAAGTTATAAATCTGTAATATGAATGCTAAAGCTTAACATGTAGGTACTGAGGAAATACATGTACACCAGCTAGACCACTTCTATCCTCTGCTTTCTTCCCCCAGGATCCCAGTTGCACAACTCACATTGATTCCTAGTCCATACTCTGCTTGCTCATAAGCATGAAGCTTTCTCTGAAGGAGGGGCTGGGTCTAATGGAGCCCATCACACTCCTCAGCCTGCCTTCAGGTTCATCTATCCTCCTGGAACTCCACCCCATGAACACAGTGAATCCTTTTATCATGACAAATGGCCAGCAGAAAAGGCCCTTTCTTATCAATGACTTTTCTGTGTCATTGTTGTGCCTAGTTTCCATGACTCTGGATAATTAAGGAACTCCTTGAGGACTGTGTCCTCTGAGCCACAGGGACAGAGACAAGCTGGTTAAAGGGCCAGTGCTGAAGTCAGTGAAACTTTCCGTGCTGGGTGGTCTGGCTCAGGAGATCTAAGTGCCCAAAGAGGATGTGGAACAGAGGACCAGCATGAGAGTATTTTCCCTTCCTTCCTTTCCTTCCTTCCTTCCTTCCTTCCTTCCTTCCTTCCTTCTTCCTTTATTTCGTGTTTCTTCCTGTCTTCAGATATGTGGGAGGGGGCTGTGTAAGCATGTGTATAAATGTGCATGGAGCGGGACAGAAATCCACTTCCCTTGTTTACCTTAGTTATTCTCCAGTTATTTTTTGAGACAGGTTAAGTGGCCTGAAGTCTCAGCAATTCAACCATGGTGGCTGGTCAATGAGCCACAGTGATACTCATGTCTCTGCCTCTCCAGCACTGAGATGAGAAACACGCACCACCATGTCTGGATCTTTTTATGGAGCTCTGGGAATCAAACTCAGGTCTTCAGGTTTTCTCAGCAAGCACTTTACTGACTCACCCATGTCTCATGCCTGTGTTGTCATTCGCTCACTGTCTAATAACTTTTCTATGTTGCCAGAATAATCTTTGCATACCTGTAGATGTATTTTATTCTAGAGAGCCCAGAAATTCTACCCATAAGTTCATTGTGGCAGGATTCCTGATACACTCAGACCCACTAGCCTCCTAAGGTCTCTATTACCCACCCACCATACATCACTTGCAAGAAGGGTTCTTTAGGCCACTTCTATGAAAACAGATGAATGAATGAGTTAGACTTCTTGAAATATCCAGATAGATCTTGGAAGAAAGGGAAATGCAGTCTACACTTACATCAATGATGTAGGTCAATGACAGCATCAAGCCCAAGGTGACAGGGGCACTCCCAGAGTGCTTATCAGTGATGCAGGCCAAGAATAATGGTCATAAAAGGCAAATGATGAAAGAAAGACTTCCCAAATAAAATCATACTAAAGTCACCAAGTAAGGACAACCAAAGGCAAACCATGATTTTTCCCGTTTCAGCTGAGAGATCCAAACATAGATGACAGCACAGGGTGAGGAGATCCCTAAACAGGTAAAGGCACTGGCTGCTAAGCCTGGCAATCTGAGTTCCAACCCTGGGACCCACATAGTGGAAGGAGATTCCCTCAGGTTGTAGTCTGACCTCCACATATAGGTATATAAAAATAATTTAAAAATGACAATGCATTTTTTCAGAGGATTTTTGACAGTTATCTAATCTATAGGAAAATTTCACATAATTCATTTTCATAAAGTAATAATTTCAGCAGCACTGAAGTATATATACACTTTGAAGTTCTTTCTAAGTTTTCTGATAAAGGTATTGAGTATTTGCAATATCTTAAATACCCCCTAGTTTGACCTCTTGCAAAATATCTCTACTCCTCAAGATGAGGTAAGTCATCTGAACGCCCACTATGTTTGATTCTTGGGACACCGAAGAAGGACTGTTACTCTAGGTTCCACTGAACTGGATTCTTTTCAGAATCAACACAAACTATAGTTTAAAGAAAGATGAACTGAACTGCTACTGAAGACATCTTGCATTCTCAGTCTATGTACATTTGATGATGTATCTTAACTGAGTCAGCATAAATAAGTAAAAGTCAATAAAATGAAGAAGAAAGGAAGGTAGGAATTAGGAAAATAAATATGTTTTCCCCAACTTAACTCACTCTTTTTATTTGAACTTATTTTGGGGAGTTTTCATCATATCTATACCTACCTCCCCACCTGCAACTCCTTGTATGTGTTCCCCTCTACAACCCATCTCAAATTCATGTCTTCTATAAATGTCATTGTTTTGTATACATTGTATTTTATATTGTATATATTGTTTTATACTATTTAAATATTTACATGCATGTTACATGCATTATATGTTATAAATATGTATGCATATGTAAAAACATATTTATATATAAAAATATAATTATAAAGCCTACTACATTCAAGTAACATAGCTTCATGTGCACATTTGAGCATGGACAAAATATCAGGAGCTCAGCCCTGAAGAAACCTGACTCTCCCTCCTTCAGCAGCTGTGAACTGCTTGTTCTTCAACTATAGATGTGTCCTTGTGGGCCCTTCCTCCATTCTTGCTGGAAAGTCAGCTGGTGTGGTCTTCTACAAGAAATCATATTGCTGAGAGTTCATGGCTACTATATCCCTGTCATATGTTCAAACATAATATTAAGTGTTTATATCACATATGTTCTATTACCCTTGCCACACTTTTTCCTCCAAATACTTCCTGTTTCCCCTTTCCAGGGCCCTTTCAGTTTTCTGGCCTCTACTTAAATCTCCTCTTATTTTCATTTTTCATTTTCACTTTTTTTTTTATGCAGTCTCACATGTGCCAGATTGGCTTTGAACTTACTATGCCACCAAGGATGACCTTCAACTTGTGAAATGCTCCTGACTCCTCTTCTTCCCAAGGCTGGGATTATACGCATTCATCACCACACCCAATTTATGTGATGTTAGTCATTGAACCCAAGGATTCATGCATACCAGCCAAGCATTCTACCAATTGAGGTACACCCCCAGTTCTTCTAATGATTTAATCTGTTTATTTTGATCTTTAAACAATCCAGAGGAAAAGAGTAAAGAGCCACATAAAATGTAGGCACTTCTATAACTGTTTCACTTGTGATGACCTCACTCTTGTCTCCAAATCAATCTCAGAAAGGGAATTTTCTGTTTGGTTCATTTAATCCTACTTTTTGCAAGATGCCCACTGTCAACCACCTTTGAGGTTTTCCCATTTTAATGTGGATAAAATGCTCCATAAGTAGATGGAACAGTTCTTATCTTATTGTACTTGTGCCAGCAATTAGCACTGAGATTCTATCATAAGCATTCACTCTTTAGGGGTTCTATCTATTCCATTCATTAAAAAAATACATCAGGCAGTTAAAGAGAGTTTTTTATTATAAATATTACATAACTTCTATTACTTTTTGTGATTTCTATACTCATCAGACTGTACTATCTATAAATATCCCCAATTGGGATGAAATTTTCTTAAATATGTCAACATTCAAGTCAACTTACAACTGCAATCAGTCACCCTGTGCTGTTTATGGAAATCATCAAAGTAAACATTAAGTTGAGCCCCATATCATTCAGTATAGCATGGGCTATGTTATACATACATATATGTAACAACACTATAAACATAACACAAACTCAAAAAAATGGGGCATTTGATGGATTCAAATGGACATGAACAGGCTGTCCATTTTTCACCATTAGCTGACCTGCTTTATCGCCAGAACCTTGGTAAACTGACAAAGAACTACAGCATCTGAAGGAAACTTTTCTGAATTTTCAGACATTTTGGATTTCAAAGGATACATGATTGTTTATTTAGTCAGTGCCAAAGATTGCCAATATTAAATATATGCTCCAGACACATAAAATGTGTTCCATTTCTCTCTGTTCAAATTTTCTAACTTCGTTTTTAATCTTTGTGTGTGTGTGTGTGTGCACGTGTGCATGCGTGTGCGAGTGTGTGTGTGTGTTTAGATGTGTGTGACAGTCAGAGGATAATATCACATGTCAGTCTTGGCCTTCTACTTTGTCTGAGACAAGATTTCTTAGTGTTTACTGCTAGTCCAGCAGGCTAGCTTGTCCATGAGCCTGAGCGTCTCCCGTTTTTACCTCCCGTCTCACCATAGGTGCACTGAGATTATAAATGCAAGCTAGCACGTCTGGCTTTATGTGGATTCTGTGGATCCAAAGTCAGGTCCTCACCTGCTTTACCTATCTGCCTATATTCCTAGCTTCTGTTCAAACTTTGTAACTATGAAGATTTATTATGTGGCATAAGTTGATACAAATATTCCATTTAATCTCTCTGCTTTCAGAATAATGTCAGATAATCTTGGGCAAAATGTAGGAGAAGGTGGGGTGTACTAAACACATTTTAGAGGGAATTCACTCTCTCACTTTTTGTTGCTTTTAATTTTTCCTGTCTGAGACAACTTATGTAGCCCAGACTGGCCCTAAACTCCTTATAGAGTTAAAGATGTCCTTCAGCTTCTGATCTGCCACTTCCTAAGTGTTAGAATTACAGATATACGCCACGACGTCCAGTCTATGCAGTGCTGGAGGACTGATTAAATTGAAGGCTTCATGCACGTTAGGCAGTCACCCTAACAACTGAGCTGCATCTCAAATCCTTGGTTTTAGTCTCTTAAAGAACACTATTGGAAAAAATGGAGCCACTGGTCTCTGGAAGAAAATTCAATGGAAAAATTATCCTCTGTCCTCATCTTTGTCACATCTCTAGCCAAAAAACCCAATCATCAGTATCTTTAGTCATTTTGTGTTGCAGATAATCACCTTGAAACTAAATGCTTCTTGGGAAGAGCCAGACATCCAAAATGACTTCATTCCCAGTTGATTGAGGCAACCTCAGCTTCATTTTCAAGTGAAATTGTGCTGTCGAACATAGCACTCTCTAAATTGCAACAAAACGATAATTGGATTGAAAATATCTATTTCCCCTTAAAAGTGAAATTGAAATTGCCTACCTTGATTTAAAGATGTCGGGTGGCATCAGCTCCAATGTATGAGTTGGTCCGTATAGGTTTACAACATATAATTTTACTGTTGGGTTCACTTGACCTGCCTTTGAGAAAATGAGAATTGTAATATGTACTTTATAAGACTTAGACTGTATTGAGACAAAAAAGAAAGGTCGTTTGGCTGGTTTACTTTTTGTGTGTTGCTGGAGATACAAAGTTTAATTTGTCTAAAGTAGAAATGAGTTTAAATTCAACAACCTGATTGCTTTCAATTGTTTTTGCAGACTGCTGCTTCTGGAACATGTTAGTCAGACAATTAAAGGTGACGGGAAATCAGGGTGGCTTTATTCATCAGACAGTGCTGCTGTTTGGTTTCCCTAGAACGGCAGAGAGCTGGATGTACGACAGAGTTTATCCACCAAATGACTACGAGCATCGTAGACTATGACCCACTGAGGGAAGGTTTTGATGGGAGGCATGGAGGGAAGGGAAGGAAGCAAGAATGAGAAAGAAAGGGAGAGAGGGAGGGAAATGAAGGAAAAGGCAGAAGGGAGGGAAAGGAAGAGGAGGAAATGAAAGGGAGGGGGTGAGAAGGGAGCAGCCAATGGGAGGTGAGAGGAAAGGGAAGGGAACCAGAAAGAAGGGGGAGGGGAGGAAAACAGGGAACAGAAGAGAGAAGAAGGAAAGGGGAGGCTCAGGAAGAGAATTGGGAAGGGAAGGGAAGGGAAGAGAAGGGAAGAAGGGAAGGGAAGGGAAGAGAAGAAGGGAAAAAGGGAAGAAGGGAAGGGAAAGAAATAGGAATAAGGAATAAAAGGGAGAAAGAAAGGGAAGGGATCGGACAAGGAAGGGAAGCAAACAGAAAAGGGTAGATGAGGGAAAGGGAAGAGGACAGGAAAGGAGAGAAGACTGGAGTGGGAAGGGGACCGGAAAGGGGAGAGGACTGGAGTGGGGAGGGGAACGGAAAGGGGAGAGGACTGGAGTGGGAAGGGGACCGGAAAGGGGAGAGGACTGGAGTGGGAAGGGGACAGGAAAGGAGAGAGGTTAGGAAAGAGAAAGGAAAAGAAGGGAAAGACAGGGATCTTGATGGCATAGAAGGAAAAGGTCACGGGAAATGTCACTCACACAGAGGATTACAGAAATCCTACCTAGAACTGATGCCTACAAGTTGTCCACGGGGTATGCCATGTGTGTGATCACATACACAAGTAAACAAATAAAACGTATCTTTAAAAAGTTAGAAATATTGGAAATCATGCCCACATGAAGACTATGTCACATGCTTAAGATTCAAAAGAGCCTAATATTTGCCATTGCATTAATGTACCCAGTCTTCATCTTTAAGCTAATTACTAATTGGGATGACTCAGATATTTAAATGACCCTTGAGAGATGGAAAAACAGTCCTTTCTGAGCCTGTGGCAGGAAGAATAGAAATTCAGGGACAAGCACTTATACTTTGGGTTCAGTGAATCTAATTTTATTCACAAATAATAACTATCAAGCACAATGATCAGCACATTTCTGGTTTTTAGGATGCTCTAAAGGCATTATGTGGATTTTGTTCCCAAATAATGCAGTAAGTTAGGACTTACTGCAGTCCTAAAATAATTAAAACTATTTTCCAGATGAAAATGAAGAAGGTAAGGTGGACTCAGTAATAGCCAAGGGAGCTGATACTTAAATTAAGGTTCTACTGTGCCTTCTATTCATTCCCAGGCAATGACCAACAAATGCTTGCTAAACATAGTGTAAGCAGGAAAAGGGAAGGACAAAGAACTGTCTATGATGTCTCAACCAGTTTAAAAAGCCTGTGAAAGACTGTGTACCTGATGGGGTGGGGGTGGGGTGGCTCTGAAGTCACAGTGTTTGCTGCACAGCCAAGGACTTGAGTTCAGATCCTCAGAAACCTATGAAAATGCCAGCTGGGCCTGGTGACCTGACTATAATTACAGCCTCAAAAACTGGGAACGGGGATCCCCAGAGCAAGCTTGCTAGAGAGATTAGTCATATCAGTGAAGCCTCAATTTTACTGAGAAAACCTGCCTCAATTAACAAAGTGGAAGAGCAATTGAGAATGATTTTTTCTTCAACCTCCGGTTTCCACATACATGCACTTATGTGCACTTGTGCCCCCCTACACATGCAAAACCATGCAAACACACACACACACACACACACACACACACACACAAACAATGGAAAATAAATACAAAGAATGTCTTCACGGATAAATGATATACCAAATCACTTGGTGAAACTTAGATGTGTTTCTAACCAACATGCAGTTATCCTTGGGTGTGGCTGAGTCTTGAAGAGGTTATGTGACATAGAGAAGAAAGAAAGGGAAATTAAATGTGACCAGTTAAAAAAAATCAAAGAGAGTGATAAAATCTATTTAAGGATGCAAAAGGACTCATACTCCAGGAATCAGCATTGACAAATATGGAATTAAATTAGAGTTTAAAGCAAGGTGATACGTTCCACCTTAAGTGAGTAGGCCCTTAGCCACTGTATTGTTTGGTTGTTAAAAGAGATTGACTGAAGACAAGATAAATTTCCGATACAGGACTTGAAGCAATGGAGCTAGAACTGATCTGGAAGCTTCCTCCTTGAACACTAGTTCTCATGGTTCTAGACAATACTATATATGTTGCTAAGGGAGAAAAATCAATCAAAGTTGCAACCCCAGCAGAGATCAGCCCAACTCTGGAAGTATGTCTTGCACAAGTTGGAAACTTCTAGTGAAAGAAATTGATCAGAAAATTCTTTTGATAGAGAAATGCATGCATGACTGTTAGGAGGTGTTATGGGTTTGTGGAGCAAAGGGCTTCCTGGAAGATGTCCTGATCATGCTGACACAGCTCTGCCTCAGATTTTAGAAAGCTTTTCATTGGCGCAGACCTTGTATTGTCTGGGCATATTTATCTTTTACCATTTGGTCTGCTGTTCTTGTGAAATTCCTTTCATCTTTCTTGTTTTAATTTAGTTGTCATGTTCTTCCTTCAAACTACCAGCTTTACCCATTTACTTTGTAGTTTTGTCATTTTCCTAGTGAGATCAATGTGCTAAAATCTAAAACTAGACTATGTATGTATATGACCATTCAGAGTGTTCATCACCAGCAGTACCAGTTCACGTCTCCTGCAACCACCTCACAGTTGATCCAATCTAGACCCAGAATATCTGGGTGTGGAACTACATATTTGAGTTTATCCATATTTCTAAATATACGATATGCAATTCTGACAAAACACTGGTCTGTATTTACCATATCATCTATCACTCAATCTATCACCTGTCATCTATATCATATATCTAGCATCTGTAAATTAACTATTATCCTACATTTCTCATCTGTCATGTAACATCCATGTATCTAGCTATCATCTATCTATCTATCTATCTATCTATCTATCTATCTATCTCTCTATCTATCTATCTATCTATCTATCATCTATCTATCTATTATCTATCTGTCTGTCTATCATCTATCTATCTATCTATTGTCTATCATCTATCTATCTATTGCCTATCATCTATCTATCTATCATCTATCTATCTATCTGTCTATCTTCTATCATCTTTCTATAATCTATCATCTATCTATCAATCTATCTATCTATCTATCGATCAATCATCTATCATCTATTTTTCTTTGTATCTATCATCTGTCTATCATCATTTACCTCTATCATCTATCATTTTTTCTATCATTTTTCTGTCAGGTATCTATCATCCTAGCATCTATTTAATCTATCTATTATCTATCTATCTATCTATCTATCTAATCTATCTATCATCTATCTATATCTATCTGTCATCTATCTTCTTATCATCTACTATCTGTCCTCTAACATCTCTCAGCTCTCCTCTTTTTATTATACATCTATTAATCATTTATCATGTACCCATCACGTTTAATCAATCATCTTTATGTCACCTGTCATTGATCTATCTTCTATATCATCTATGTATTTATTTATTTAGTCTCTCATCTCTTTTCATCTATTACCTCTTCATCACCTACATCTCATCTATCATCTGTCATCTATCATCTATTATGCATCCACGTATCTATCATCTATCTATACCACTTATTTCTATCTACCTATCTTTTATCTATCATGTATCTATACTGTAAAATCTATCATCTCTCTATCATTTATCAACTATCCTTGATTTTTCTTCAATACAATCTATCTATCTATCATCTATCTATCTACCATCTATCTATCTATCTATCATCTGTCTATCTATCTATCAATCATCTATCATCTTTCTTTCTATCTACATCTATTTATCTACATCTATCTATCTATCTATCTATCTATCTGTCTTATATTCATTCATCCATCTGCCATGTCACCACATTATTAATTATCTCGGCACAGCTCACTGGATGTCAGAGGTTAGCTTTCATAAGATTGGCCCAGAGTGCCGGGAAGGCTTGATGAGTCAGTGCCTACTGAAGACTTCCTTCAGCAGGAGGCTGGTGACCAGAACATTAATACACAATTCAGAGAAATCTGAGTTCAAAATTTGACTCTGATATTTACTTTAAAATTACCATGAAGCATATATTAAGATTCTCAAACTCTATTTACTTGATTTTGCAAATCAAGACAAACATTTTTCTGAGATATGTTGCGAATTAGACATTTCATGTAAAAAAGTTTCTTTTCTTTGAATAAATTATGTCATAGTTTTGTTATATGAACTAACAAAAAGATGTACATAAAGTATCTAAAATAAGATATGGTAATAAACTAATTTTCACCTAGTAATGAAATATGTGCATACATACTCATTATTTAGTATGATAACTAGAGAAATAATGATATTAAATTAGATTGGCTCCTGTGAATTCTTAACAAAAGTTTATGACATACTTAGTCAGAGACACATAGTTTATGACCATATTGAGGGAATCTGTCACTGACACTGTGAGTTTAAAACTGTGCAAGATAACTTCTATCCCAATCATCCTCTATTGAACACTAAACACTGTACATAAAAGACCAGTTTCAGATAAAGACACCTCAGTGAAGCATCAGCCTGTCTCCAAAATTTGGCTATTTAGCATTCCATAATCTCAGTTCCATTTTTATTTTTCCATGGGGTTTGGAAATTAAGCATACATATCAAGTTCATTTGCATCTTTTAATATTTGAGTAATTTTGAGAGTGTGCAAATTAGAGAGTTCGTCTCTTTGCTTTTAACAGTCCCATTTGCCACAAAGACTGCAAAGCCATGGAATTCCTTCCTCTATGATTCTCAAACACAAGCTTCAATAATAATTAACCTTGTTTTACTGGCAACTAAATTGTCATTAAACGAGATAATGTTTTAATTAAGAAGATTAACCTGAGGTTACAGAGAGAGAACTCTGCAATCTCTTTTGTGCTGAGTCGCTAATGATAGGGTATTTTATGAGTACCAAATCATGCTGAATTAAGTAAAATTCAAATATATCTGTTTGGTGTAAGTATTTCATTAGTAAAGCTGACCATGCTAGGGTATTGCTGTGCTACTTTAAAATCTAGCTTAATTTAAGTTCAATTTAGTATGAACTTGAATGTTATCTCAATTTCCAAAGTATTACTTTCTAAAAGTTTACTGTATGCAAGCAAATTGAAACTGTTTGTAATGGGAAAATCTAGTCATCACTTAAAAATGGAATAGAAAATAGTAAGTTTGAAAATTATACTGACATACTCAAATGAGACTGAAATTTGTAGAGCGTACAAGGACAAAAATAAAACAAACAAACAACCCCCCAAAAGCCCAATCTTCCTTTCTTGATCCTTTCTTGAAAAGTAATGTCAAGTACCTAGGTGGAAGTCTCAAAGAAAAGCCATATCAGGACTAGTGTGCTTTTGCTTACTTTGGTCTGACAAAATGTCTTTCACTCATGTTTACTTGTTTTTATTTTTTATGTATGTGAATTATGGGGGGGTACTTAATGAGGGTACTCATGTACATCTAGTGGCCAAGGACCAAATTCCAGTGTCATCCTCAGAAACATAGTTCACAGACATTGAGACAAGAGTGATTCATTTGTGTAGATCTCTCCGAGGCTGAGCTGGCTGGCCAGTAAGCCTCAAGGATCCTGCTGCCTCTGCCTCCCCAGTGCTGGGATTGCAAACTTGCACCACCATCCTTGGCTCTGGGGACCAAACTTAGGTTCTCATGCTTGGGAGGCAAACACTGAGTCCTGTCGCTAACTCATGGTGGTGTTTGTTTTTAATACTTTCGGCAGCACTCACTATCCAAGAGGACCTTCTGTTACACTGGGTCCCTGTGCTGTAGGAACAAGACGGACTGCTGCCCCTATGGAGCTGCAGCTGCATTAGGATGCGTGAATGAACAGTACAAATAGAGATCCACAAATACCTGTGAATCTGACATGAAGATGTTTAGATTTCAGGAGCCTTTGTGAAAATACAACTTGACCTCTAGGGGCCTTATTTGAATTCTTTTCCTGTCCTCCCAATAGCTGTGACTTTTATAAAAGCACATAACTTTTTGGAATCTCTGATAGCCAAATTGTGAATCATATATGATTATGATTAAGAAAAAAACTGAATAGTCTTCCATAAAAATGTAGAAATGCTGTTAGTACCTGTGGCTTGTTCAATTAATAGACACATTTTATTGTGACAAATGAAATCACAAATTATTAAATAATAAGCTATCTAGAATAGTTGTGTATCTGAATTTCTGGTGACCTATTTCAATTTTCTCAACTATTTCTATTTCTCCATTTTTGAGCCTTAGTTTTCCCTCAGTGTGAGGCCTTAACCTGTACAAGCTTAATATTCTGGGTTTGTGACTGATAGGGCTATTTTAAGACACAGCTAAGGAGGGTGTTATTTTCATGGGACTCACAAGGATCTCACTCTTGTGAAATGAATTATCATGTTTTCCCTTCTATAGGCCTATTTTATTCATTTTGTACAGGGCAAAGAACAGTTGCATGTGCCTTTTACAGAACACCATGAGTTTTCTACTTTCTACCTTAATTGCTGGAAGAAGTCTTACAATTATTACTAAATCAAACAATGAGGGAATTAATCTATTGAAGACTTTTCAGTTTGTCAGGGAGTATAAAAGGATCTGCTATGCAGCTCAGAGGCTCAAACTTTTACCTAGAAAAACATGGCTGTACTTAAAATTGTGGAAAAGTCTGACAATGTTCTCTTGGAATACGACAAAAAAGTCTCAGTCAACAGGAACATTTTGTTGCGAGTGATCCCATCCTTATCCTAGCTTTTCTGTGTGGCCAAGGCAGGTGGTACATAGTAACCCTGGTTGGTTTTGTCAGGTACTGTGCTCACTTGATGCAGTATACATATCCAAGGATATCAAACCTATTGCAGTAGAAAAAACAAAACACAGCTCTCCAAACAGATGGCTCAAAAACAGCTTCTTCAGGATTGGTAAGACGGCATCTGCTGCCAAGCCTCATGATCTGGGTTTGAAATCCTATACCTACATGATGCAAGTAGAGAAGCAACTCTTGTAAGTTGTTCTCTGACCTCCACATGCGTGCTGGCATCTGCTGCCAAGCCTCATGATCTGGGTTTGAAATCCTATACCCACATGGCGCAAGTAGAGAAGCAACTCTTGTAAGTTGTTCTCTGACCTCCACATGCGTGCTAAGGAATGCATTGCCCCCCACCAAACAAGAGTGAGATCCTTCTCCCTCACTGGAGATCCTCATGCTCAATCAGTTTTTATCAGAGATTTACATGACATATTAACATATAGTATTTACCTACTCTAAGAAATCATCTGAAAAGAACTAGATTCTTTTCAACTAAGAACTCCCAACATATTTGGTTGTAGCATTTCTTCATCTTTTATAACGCCAACTCATAACCCATAAGGTATCTTGGAGACACCTTTGTTCTCACCTCAGTTCTCTCTAACCTTTTCTCACTCTCCTTTCAACTCAGAAGACAAGAAGAAAAAATAATCACGAATGAGCATCACTTTGAAAGAGTACAGTAAAATATGTCACACCTTAACTCACCTTTACATCTTTTTCAGTAATTTATTTATGCCTCTGTGTGTGTGTGTGTGTGTGTGTGTGTGTGTGTGTGTGTGTGTGTATGAACACACATTGTGGCTAGAGGTCAATATTTGCTGTCATTCAGTGCTGTCCACCTTGTTTTTGAGACAGAACCTCTCAATGGCCTGCAGCTCGCCATGCACATTAAGCTGTCTGGCCAGTGAATCCCAATGCTGGGACTAAAAATATGCACTACCATGCCTGGCTTTTTAACATGGGCTCTAGGGCAACAAATTCCAGCTGCTTTACTTTCACAAGTGCTTTACTGACTGAGCCACCTTTCCATTGCCACCTATATCTCTTCCTACCCACATGCTTTCTGGATTATTTGGGAAAAACTCAGAAAGGATTATTTGTCTGCACATAAGGGGAGCTTCTTTTCTCTTTCAGAGGTACTTATTTTTGAACCAAGCATGTTGTCTATAAAGCCACTGGTACAGAGATAAGGAACAAACAGAACTTTCACACTGCTTACCTTAGGGTATGGGTACTGCTTTGCTTTGGGGTACAGAGCTCCAGTAAACCGAGGTATAACCATGTTGGGCACCAAGGAGTCATTTATCATCAGGAAGGCAAGTCTCTCTCCATCGGGCGACCACCAGTGGGCAATATGAGAATGCAGAAGCTCCTCTAGAATAAACGAGTGTTATTTGAAATCAACTGTAGAGATGTGGGCTCAGTGGCCCCCACACACACCTGTCCTTGAAATCTCCATTGAGCATGTATGTTTTCCAGACAGTGTGCTGGATTTTATACACTTCCCTTAAGAAGTCTGTATTTCTGAGCTGATCTTTGAGTTCCAGGAATAGCAGAAGAACAGAATAAAACAGCAAATCTGGATTAGAAGTATTGTGGTAGTGTGGACCCTGCACATGGAAGCCGTACTTGAATGAAAAGAATACTAACAATGATGAGAGAGAGAGAGAGAGAGAAAGAGAGAGAGGAGAGAAAGTAAAACCACATACATTCATAACATCATTAATTCATATTTACACGCAAGGATTTTTCTTTCATTCAAACAAGTTGAGGATTCATTGACTCATTACACTATTTTAAGGTCTAAGTAGATAGAATTTTAAAATGTATAGGCATCTACTATAGATCTGCTGTCTGCTTTTCCATATTTACTTTCTGGCTCAGAAAGGTAATCTGTAGGAGTAACATCAAAGTCCCCACCCTATGCCTGCTGATTTCTACAGTTACAGAGTTTGAAAATGGAGAGAGGGAAATCAGGTTACTTATTTTCACAGTTTCATCCTGTAATGTCACCTCAGACTGGCTGTGAACCTTAATAATGTCTCTGTTCCTATCCATATGCCTTCTCTTCATGACTCTGTGTCTGGGAATGGTTCATGACTATGTTCATAGTGACAGGGATGACTTGGCCGCTCTTAGTTTAAATTATAGCAGGCTCCTCAGTGGCTTCCCAGCCCTTTACCCATAAGTTGTCTTGGTGTAAATAAACACTCTTCTAATCTTACTAAGTCAAGTGTTTCCTTTGGGAACCCTACCATAGTAATACAAGCGCAGACTCAGAAAATAGGCCTTCACTAGTAGATTTTGAGATTAGGTGTGGGGTGTGGTGTTTACTGTTATGTCTGCATGTGTTTGTGTGTCTATGTGTGTTTGTGCCTGTGTGTGTTTGTGTCTGTGTGTGTTTGTGTTTGTGTGTGCATATGTGTATGTGTGTGTGTGTTGTAATAATTCTTTGTTTCAGGGGGGATGTAAAGTATAGGGAATTCACAGTGAGAAATGTAGCTGTGAGTCATCAGTTGTCAGTGGGAGTGACCTGTAATGTGTACTCAGAGGGGCAAGGTATTGAAATATCAAATGCTTGTGACACTTTGCTGTTACAGGATCACCTGTGATCATAAAGATTGTGAAACATGGATGACACAGTTCTTCTGAGAACCCAGAAAAAAGTCACGAAAGTGAGAAACTGAGGCTATGAATGTAAGGTTAGGACATACATGCAGAACAAAGATCCCCATGGTGTTACTGGGGGGAGTGCTTTCTTTCTGCATTTGGGGAAAGATTGCCAGAATCCAACCCAACAATACTAGAAAATTGATCAATTATCTTGACCATGGACCCAAACTTCTCATTATGAACTGGTTATTGTTGGCTGCACTGAACACATGCTGCAATACCCCATTCTAAAATGAAATCTATGAATGGAACTAGACCATAAGAGCATATGTGACTATGTCTCTGTTTTGTTTTCTTTCCTTCATCTCACAGCTGTGACCCAAGGGTGTTTCTTAACACCAGCTGGCAGAAAAGGAATGAATGTGGGGTTGAACTGTGGGTAGGCCTGTGGGCATGTTGTGCATGAGCAAGCTGGAATTGGATAGCATCTATATAGTATCAAGTTCAACTGTTGCAAGGAATAACTAAAAAACAAACATTTCATGTACTGAACAAAGTATTTCGGCATTTTTAAAACAAGCTTTGGCCGAAGGCATGGATCTATTTTGACCCTTGCAGACTACCTAATAAATGCCCACTTGATCCGACATAGACAAAAAGTAAAACTAGATATTTTGTAGACTTATCAGAAGATGTAAATCAATGAAACAAGAAACTATTGGCATCAATTAATTTCACCAGAACACACCCATAGTCCAAGTGGCTCTCAATGATCACATGGACAGGATGGCCTTTAGAGCCTTAGTCAGCCTCAAGTCAGCAGGAAGTCCCACCTTCCTGCTAAGATTACTCCTTCCAGCATTACTCAGTCACTGGTATAGTGAGTGTTATTACCTCCAGACTAGCCCACGACCTGGTGGCAGACTGAATGCAAAGGAGCCCTTCCATCCAACTAGGCAGCATCTGTGTCACACAGAGATACATGTTCTGGGGGACTTGCATTTACTGCCTACAGTCCTGTGGACAAAGGCACCAAAATATCTCTCATGTGTTGCCATAACAACCTGCACTGCATCTGTGCTAATGGCTTTGATGGCAAAGAGAAGGGCCAAGGCGTGTTCACTGGAGGAATCTGGTAGTCTCATCCTGTGCACAATTGTTTATGTTCCTCAACTGGTGGGAACATGAAAAGTATGCTCTGCAGAAATTTTTCATTTTTTTTGGCAAAATTGGAAATGAGATGGCATCCTAGAGAAAACAGTATATCCCTCCTGCATAGTCAAGAGGAGCAGATCTATAAATAAGAGGGGGAAGTGGTAATGTCCTGTCATTAGAACACCAATAACCCACTGGATAGTTTGCTTCCCATTCTCTAATCATGAGGATGATTGGTTCAGAAGTCCTATTGCCTGAAGGAATAATGTTTTCAAGAGGAGCATAGGCACAAGTCCATTTCTCTGAATTGGAAATTGAAATTTCTCCCCTAATCACATTGAACTCATATGACTGAAAAATAAAACAGAACAAAAGCAAAAATTTGACAGGAAACACAGTCACTTTACTGGATCTGATAATAGAGCTTATTTTCCAGAAATTTTATGTATCTTTACTCTACAAACAGGAGATTAGCAAATAATCTTTTATTCAATAGTGCTGAGTCATTAATAAAACCAAATTAGACTGTGGAAATGGTTCAGTAGGTAAAGTGCTACTGATGCAAGTGTGGGCAATTCAGTTTCCATCCCTGGGACACTGGAGCCCAGGTATCTGTTATCCCAGTGCTGCTACAGAGTGTTGAGAGGAAGAGCAAGGAACACTGGAGAAGCTCACAGCCCAGCTAGCCAGGCATAAGCACCAGGGAGCAACAATAGACCCTGTCTCATAAAGGGGTAAAGTGAGGACCAATGTTTGAGGTTATCCTCTGCATTCTACATGCTCACCATGGTATGCACGTGGCTCCACTTCTACACCTGCACAAAATAAAGAAATAAAATGAAACTGAAATTTCAGAACCTAATTAATAAAATGAAGCAGAGGAATATAATTTGGCATGAATTCTGGACCTCTAGTTGACATGTCTAGTTAGAATGAAAGAAAGAACGAGGAAAATAGAATAGAGAATTAAATGAGACAATCATGGTTAGAATTTAGGCTAACATAATAAGGTAAATACTCTCTCTCTCTCTCTCTCTCTCTCTCTCTCTCTCAACTGTGGAGGCCAGAGGTCAACATTAGTGTCATTCCCCAGAAGACCTCCAGCTTGATTTTTGAGACAAGGTTTCTCATTAAACCTGGAGTTCAAATTAGGTCAGGCAGGCTGGCCAGTGAGCCCCAAGGATCTTCCTGTCACTATGTCCCTAGCACTAGGGTTCCAAGAATGTGCTACTATGCCTGGCTTTTTTATGTGAGCTCTGGGAATCAAACTCAGATCTTCCTGATGGTACGGCATGCATTTTGCCAAATGAATAATCTCCTCAGCCCTTATTTCTTTTGTTAACGGAATCAAATCCTGCACTCTGCCATCCAGAATGTTTAGTTAGATAACTCTCTTGTCTTCATGCTTTAATTGTGCCAGCTCTTTGTTACAACAAGAACATGATTAATGCAACTTTCATTTTCATGACTTACTGTCTTTTGAATGTGTAGGATTTTCCAGAGGTGATCCTCACCTCTGATTTGCATAAAAAATTATGATAGGGTTGAAAAGATACAAGTTAGTCTTATGACACATCAAGGATTAAAGTATGCATGACAAGGGTCAATTAAGTGTAAATTCTAAGAGCTAAGTGATTTGTAGGCAAAAAGAGACCCTGTTGCTCAAATTCAACATCTAGGTTCCTTTTAATTAAAATTGAATATTTTATTTATTCTGTCTTCTAAAAATATACTTATTTATTCTTGACGAATTTCCTACCTGTCTACAATGTATTTTGACCACATTCATTCCCACTGTCCACCTTCAACTCCACCCAGACACCCTCCTTCAACTCCGTCCCAGTTTCATGTCCAATGTTTTTAGCCCACTGTGTCCATTTAATACTGCCAGCATGTACATCAGCATGGGCAGTTTGCCAGATGCTCAGGGTCCTAACATCTGGATATCTAAGAAACAGGTCCTATCCAGAAGTGCTGAAGAAGTTCAGTATGAACTAGATACCCCCCTTTTCATTTATTATAGAGTGAACTACGCCTAATATTCCTTTTGGTAAAAATATAATCACACTAAATTAATTGTACAAAAAGTTGCACAACCTCCTTTTAGATGCAAAAACAAAGCTGAGTAGAAGAGGAAGGAGACAGGTAACGGCATCTTTACTATGCACTTTCTTTGCATCATCCTGCAAAGGTATCGCTTTTTTTAAATTGCAACTAATAGGGATGATGTTTTCTCAAGAATTGCAGCTTTCTATGTTAATGATATTAGTCACAATTTCTTTTTCCTTTACAAACCACACTGCATCCCCATTTAGTGTACTTTTGATTAAAAATATTTTTTTGCTTTTATAGCTCTGATTTGGAAAATTTCATAGCAGAGCAGATGATGTTTTCAATACATGTGGATTTGTATCCCAGACACTGTGAAAAATACAGCCTCAAACACAACATTTTCCAAAAATCTCACTAAGATGCAATCATTCTGTTCATATGAACACACATTCTTCAAAAGCAAGCTGATTTTTGTCCACTTCTGGTCAATTTAGAGAGACAGGATTTTCCTAGGATATGACTGCCAGTTCTGTGGTTGATTTTCTCATGTATTT